ACAGACTCAATCTTTCTAGCATCATAGGCTAGAAGTATAATGGCAAAAATAAAAAAAAATATCCCAGGGAAGGGCTCTGATTGGTCCTGCACTGATGGTGGCATCCATGGGAATGGAATGCTTTGATTGGCCAGGTGAGGGGTCATATTTCTGGGTACTGTGGCTTGGGTTGGAGGAGGTACATTGCTAAGATGTTGGGTGAACCATATGAAATCACCAGTTTTGTAGATTAGGAATGGCAGAATATTGGCAATTTGATAGGGTTGATCTTAAATCATCACCAGAAGAGTAGGACGGGTCTTTTAAGGTTCCAAGACTCAACTCCAATGTGGGGAAGGGGATCCAGCCCCATCCTCCCCCACAAGCCAGTAAGTCTCAGATACCAACAGGGTATCTGAAAATTCAGCTCGGTTCTGACTCAACCCCTACGCGGAGGTAATGTCAGATTCTACAGGTTGAGGGCTCCGTCCCGCAGGACTGCCCCTCGCCCCCACCACTTCAGACAATAGACTCAAGCTCCAGGATATTCCCTGTGCTTCTGACCAACCGCCTACAGATTGCAGGTTCCAATGACCTTCCCTTAGGTTTGATTAATTTGCTAGGGTGGCTTCCAGAACTCAGAGAAATGATATATTTCCCAGTTTATTAAAGAATGTAAATCAACAGCCAGATGAAGGGATACATAGGCTAAGGTTCCAAATAAAGGAGCTTTTGTCCTTGTGGAGCTTGGGCCCTGGCTTGGTGGCACTTGGAAGCATTCTAGTTCCCCAGGCATGGAAGCTCTCTGAAAAACAAGCTGTTCTCTGGGGTTTTATGGAGGCTTCATTACATAGTCATGATTGACTATGTCATTGGCCGTTGGCTGGTTGAACTCCAGCCCGTTCCCCCACCTGGAGGTTGAGGGTGGTGGTGGGACTGAAAGTTCCAACCCTCTAATCACGTGGTTGGTCCTCCTGACAGTCAGCCAGTGCCCTTGGGTGGGGTCCAAATTCACCTTAATTAATAATAAGACATCTATTTCACCTTTATGACTCTGAAGTGTTTTCAGGAACTGTAGATGAAGACTAAATACATCTGAGAAGTATTTATTCGGTCATCTGAATGACATGCAAAAGAGTGAGAGTCATAGGATCATCTGAATGACCAAATATGTATTTCTTCTAAGCCATTATATCACAGTGGGAAAGCTTGTTGGGCATATAGAAGCAATAGAACCTCCAGAGCGCCACTTGGATGGATTTTTGGAGGCGGAGGTGATATTAGTCAAGACATAAAAGATGAATGGAAATTAGCCAGATGAGGACATTGTGATGGTGGGAGAGTAGTAGGACATGTCCCCAGCAGAGGGAGTGAACAGCTTCTACAAAAACTGTCATGAGAGAGGACAAGGGAAGGAGATGCCACTGTGCTTTGGCGATGGAGTGCTCTGACTGGGCAAACCTGAGTCACGTGTCCGACCAAATGAGGGTGTGGGAAAGGTGGGGCGTCATTCCCCAAAGGATAATTGAGGATCTTTATCAGGAGAAATGGATGCTGGGGAGGAAAAAACAAAATAAATCCAGTTCAAAATTTCTTTGTTAGGCCTTGGTGCCTCTCAGCATAGATTTGCAACCTTATTTCCATTACAGAACTTATACTGAAGTGCTCATGTACTTGAACTCAGACATATCTTATATCATGCACATTTGTATCATCAAATATTAATTGGCACCTCCTCTGTTCTGTGCTGGGCACACAGAGATGTATTTGTGAGGATACATTTGACTGCAAGAAACAGAAAATCCAATTAACATGACTTAAGACTTTTGGTTATTATCTCATTTAATGAGTCTGGAGTTAGGAGGTTTGGGGTTTTGGTGCAATGGCTTACTGGTATCACCAAGGACTTAGTTTCCTACTCTTTTGTTCCACCTTCCTTAGAAGAATAGCTTTGTTCTAGGCTTTTTGCCTCATGGTCATAAAATGACCACCACAGCTTCAGGTCCTCATTTACCAGTGAATAAAGCAGGAAGGGAGAGAACTCATGGAAGAGTTTTCTTTCTGTCAGGGAAGAAAAAAAGTATAAAACAATAAGAGTAAGAGCAATAAACACATATAGGCCTTTCCTTGTGCCAAGAACTGTTTTAAATTCTTTACATGAATTAGCTAATCTAAGAAGCCTCTTTAATCACCATCATCGAAAAGACAAACAACAACAAATGTTGGCGAGGCTGTGGAGGAAGGGGAACCCTCCTACACTGCTGGTGGGAATGTAAATTACTTCAACCATTGTGGAAAGCAGTATGGAGGTTCCTCAGAATGCTCAAAATAGAAATACCATTTGACCCAGGAATTCCACTTCTAGGAATTTACCCTAAGAATGCAGGAGCCCAGTTTGAAAAAGACAGATGCACCCCTATGTTTATCGCTGCATTATTTACAATAGCCAAGATATGGAAGCAACCTAAATGTCCATCAGTAGATGCATGGATAAAGAAGATGTGGTGCATATACANGGGGAGGGCTGTGCAACACAGAGAAGACAAGTAGTGATTTTACAGCATCTTACTACGCAGATGGACAGTGACTGTGAAGGGGTATGTTGTGGGGGACTTGGTAAAGGGGGGAACCTAGTAAACATAATGTTCTTCATGTAATTGTAGATTAATGATTCCAAAATTTAAAAAAATTAAAAAAAAGAAGCCCTTTAGTTATGTGGCCATGTCAGATGGCAAGGGAGTCTGGGGAAGCAGGTGTCAGGCAAGGGGGAAAGAAATTTATGTCCTGTGCTGCCCCTATACCCAAACTGGGGTTCTGTCACTCACAGACCATATAATGCAGTGGGAGTGGCTATGGGGTCGTGCACAATTTTTAGTGTATGACTGTGCTCCACTCTTTGTCTCCTAATTGAGACATGCAAAAGAGTGAGAGTTATAGGATTATGGGGATTATTCTGAAACCCCAGTAATGCAATAGAAACTCTACCACTCAGAAACTTCAGGGGTTGCTCTTGGTAATAAATTTCTTGTGACACACCTCACAGTGGATTGTGTGGGGCTGGTAGCTGTCACACTGTTCCAATTATCTATTGTCTCATAAAAAACCAGACTGAGAGGCATAAAATGAAAATTATTTTGTTATGCTCCTACTTTCTGTGGGTCAGGAACTTGACCACAGCACAGTGGGGAGGGGATGGCTTGTCTGTACCCCAACTGGGAGCTGGAATTATCTGGACACTTCTTCATGCACATTTCTGGTTCCTGAGCTGGGATGATTGTAAAGCTGATCTCAGCTGGGATTGTCAACTGGAGTGTGTACATGTGGCCTCTCCATGTGGTTTGGGCTTCTTGCAGCACGGCAGTTGGGTTCCGAGAGGGAGATTCTGAGAAGGCATGTTCCAAGACTGCTATGCTAACTTGGTGCTGGAAGTTACTTGGCTTGACTTCTACTGTACTCTATTGGTTGAAGAACTCCCAAGTACAAGTTCAATGAGAGGGGAACATTGACTCCGCCTCTAGAAGGGAGGACTGTCAAAAAATTTGTGGCCACTTTTTAAAAGCCACAACACAATGCATGAGCTGGAGATGCCAGCCAACAGTTTGACAACTGGCATTGTTAGAATCAGAATGCACGATGGCCACATGTTGGAACAGATCCTGGAACAGATCCCCACCCCTTTGTATCAGGTACTAAACCTTCATTTCTGAACTGTTGGAAGCTCTAGGGGTTACAGGGGGAGGGCTGAGACAGCATGGGTGGGGCAGGTTTGCTTAGGGGCCTCTTGGGGAAATAGCTATTTGCCAATCGGTATGAAAGTATTTCAGTGTTTTAATAACAGAAACAGTGATGCCACTGGGGACCACCGGTTATCAGTCCTGCAAGACATTCACGACCTGGGAACCTCCAGATGCCGTTTAGGCTGCTGCCTAGGTCCATCTTTCACCTTCTTCCTGCTGGTAGAAATCTAAGTTTGTTCATGTATTTCCTCTCCCTGAGGCATGTTTTCAGGGAAAGTGCTTCTCCCTAACTGCAAAGGTAAATCATGATTAGTCTAACACTATCTTTCTAATTATATCCTCCTTGTCAGTGATTGGTTGAGGCTTGGGCACATAAAAAAGTTTTAGCCAATGAGACAAGCACACACACACTATAGGGAGTTTCTCTGAAAGGTTTTCCTTGCTTTTAAGAACTGTGGGAGAGGCATCAAGACCTTAACACTGTGGAGCAGAGGAAAACTATCTATGCCAAATCTGTGAGCATAAGATGGGCATTGTTTTACTCCATTAGGTAGGGGTGTTTTGTTAGGACTTAGAGGTTATTGTTTGTGTGTGATAGCAGGAGCTGTGGCTGCCATCTTAAGACCAGGAGGTAGCCAGAGTAAGAATCAACCAATTAGTTTCCCAATGACACTATTGGATGAATGAATGAATCAGTCCTAGAACTATCCTGTTGACTTTCTGTTATATGTGATAATAAATTCATTTTTGTTTTACCCGTTTGAGTTGGGTTTCTAGTACTTATTACAGGATAAAGCACTTGATTGATACAGACCTCCATCTGTCCTAAGTACACACGGAAAAGAGAGATATGCAGTTTACACAGGCAGGGGGAGACATATAAACGAGCATAAATACTCACACATTTGCACACATGTGGGCATAAATACTCCACTATGCATCTTCAGTTAGACTCAGCTTCAGGCAGACACTCACTTGGAAACATACACACACATAATTGCAGAAGTCAGGCACATACAAATATACACAGCTAGTTACAAATTTTACCAATATCACACAGACATCATGCTCATCAGACCCACAATCACACACACACTCAAGGACTCACCTATCACAGATGGTTCCAATTCTTTACTGTTTATTTGCACATATTGTATAAAAGTAGAAAAATAAACATTTCTTTTGAGGTACTGAGTCAGGGCTGTAGCTTCATAAATAATGGGTGAGGCTTAGTATATAAATAAGGTCTGGGGTCCCAGATTGGCTAGGGGTGGGTCCAGGCTCTTAGACACACAGGTCTCTGCTGGCAACACATTCCAGGTCCTTTTTGAGGAGGCGGAAGAGGTTGAACATAACAGAGGCCTCGCGGCAGCCTTGAGACTCCTGTGAAAGAGAGGACTGTGATTTCCATAGCCTGGGTATCAGCCTCCTCCTTTATCCTGGGCCCAGGTATTCAGCCTCCTCCCAGCTCACTCACCTTCTCTGGAGCCTCCTGGAGCCGGCGCAGCCAGTGGTGGAGGCGGCCCCGGGGCCGGGCGCCTGCTGTGGGCTGAGCTAGGATCTGAGGGCAGAGGAGGGTGGTGTGTGAGGCAAGGCCTGGGACAGAGGGGTGAGGTCCTAGATGCCCAGGGCCCAGACATGGCTGGGTGCCCCCAGCACTCACACAGGCCCAGAGCTCCGAGTGGATGTGGCGCAGTGTGTGAAGTGGCTGGTCCAGGATGTCACCCAGGGACGAGTCAGCCATGGTCCCCAGGACCTTCAGCGTCAGGGCCAGCTCAGCCTCCAAGGCAATGGGGCGCTCCCACACCTGCGGAGGAATGAGAAAGAACGGGTGAGGTGGAAAGGTGAGGGAGGGTAGGCAAGAAGGCCCAGTTAAATGGAGACAGGTAGGGAGTACAGGGAAGGAGGGCAGGTGATACAGGACAAGTGATGGGTACAGGAGGTGGGAGAGGTGAGAGGGAGGCAGAGGAGGGAACACATGGGGAAGGACACAGATGGGGAGGAAGCAGGTAAGTCAGAAAGGTAAGGGAGGAGACAGGTAAAAGAGTAAAATGAGGACAAGTCAAAGTGACTTATGGGGGTCATAGAGGTTTGAAGAGGCAGGGAATCGGGGTTGGGGGGAGAAGAGAACAGGTGAGTGGGGGGAGTTGGATGCATAGGTGAGAAGGTGAATGAAGGAGGAGCCCTTGCTGGGAAAAGATCAGGGAAAGGAAGAAGATGAGCCACATAGGTGTGAATCAATGGTGAAGAGGCCAGGTGAGGGGGAAGAGGAAGTCAGAGGTGAGAGTGGACAGTGACAATCTGGGAAGGGCAAGGGGCATAGGCTGGGGGACAGACCTGGGAGGGAAAAGAGAAGGAGCTAAGTGAGAGTGGGAGGAGGGACAGAGGAGGAAGATAGGGAAGTGGGGACTGGCAGGGAGATGCTACAACCGGACCCAGGTTAAAGACAGGCTCAGGGGAGCAACTGAGGAGGGACCAGAGAGAGCGAAGGACAGGTGAGATAAGGGAGGGAAGAGGCTGCTTAAGAAGACAAGCAGAGGGGCCAGGTGCAGATAACGGTGGCCTCACTTCCAGCTCACCTGCAGCTGTTTCAGGTCCCGGGTCCTGGGGAAGAGGCGGGAGCTGCAGTTCCAGTTTTCCAGTGAATTTTCCTAGAGAGCAAGAGCAGAGGTTAGCCCACAGTAGGAGGGCTGGAGGCTAGCCCGCCAGAGCAATGATGAAGATTGAGCTAACAGGAGGGCTTGAGTTCAATCCATAGTAGAAAGGATGGAAGTCAGCCATAGCAGAAAACCTAGAGGCCAGCCTGTAGGGGGAGGATAGAGGTTAGCTCACGGTAGCAAAGCAGCAGCTTGGCCAAAGCAGGAGGAGAGATTAGCACACAGCAATGGGGACTCACCCAGGCATCCTTGGCTTTCTTGAAGGCCGCTAGCTCCCTTGGTGACAGAGATTTGAACCTGCTAAAGTTGCAGCCGCTCCTGGTTGTGGCAGGCTTGGAAGTGGGAACAGGGCTAGCTCTGGTCAAGCCCAGCTCCGCAGTCACCAGCACCAGGACCCACAGTGCAGCCATGGCCAGACTGCAGCTGACTCCCCGGCTGCATGGCTCTGCTTTTTAACCAGGTTAACTGAGCAACCCGGGCTGATGTGTGTAAAGTGAAAAAGCGAGTGGGAATTGCTGTTTCCACTGACTGAAAAGATATGAGTGGGTGGGGCCAGTGCTGAACCAGGTGAGTTCACAAGCCTGGCTGAGCCCAGAGCCATGCCGAGAAGGAAAGAGAAACTGAAATTCAGTCCCAAGAGGGAGTTTGAGAAATCCGTGAGCTGAGTTTAGGAGTCCCTGGGACTTCAGGGAGCCCCTGACTGAGGCTGAGGCAGGTAGACGGACAGAAAGGTGTCACAACAGGGCAGGTGCTAGGGTAGGGTCTGTGGAGTGAGGCTTCCTGAGTGGCAGAGAGGGAGCTTCCTCCATTGGTTTAAGCATGTTCCATGAATTCACCTATTTTCACCTCATTCCTGTGAAGAGTTACTTTTATAATTATTTCTATTTTACCAGTGAGGAAACTGAGGCACAGGAGGCAAAGTGAATTGCCTAAGGCCCCACATCTGGTTCATGGCAAAGCTGGGATTTGAGCGGCATCCTTTGACTCACTCCCTATTCGTTGTACAGCCAAAGTAGAAGACAGAATCCTGAAATCACACACCCAGCTCTTCTTTTTCTCCCCCTGGGTAGCACGAAAGGGTAAGGAGCTCCTCATTCCCCGGGGCCAAGAGCACTAGCTGGGGGCTGGAGGAGCTGCCTGGGGATAAGACAGCGAGAAGGGCTTCTGGAAGGCAGGCAGAGTCTGGTTGCTCTGTTATCATCAGTCTCCTGCAGGAATAACAATTGTGTAGCAGGTAGGGAATTGCTTTGATGTGTAGGCACTTCATGTTTTTCATTCCTGTATTTTTTCTTGTTTTCATTCCTGTATTTTTTCTTGGCCCTTGGGTGCAGACAGTTATTAATCATACTCTTCAGATCATAACATAGAATCACAATTGACTCGTGAAAGACCCTCTAAAGCTTTATGCCCTCTCCCCATGCCAATCCCCACTCTTATCCCTCCTCACAGGCACTCACTTTAACGCACTTGATATATAGCTGCGAAGATGTATTTTTGTAATTTGTGATTTTCCCAATTTACATAAATGGGATTGTGCTATAAATCTCATTCTATTTCTTCCTTTAAAAAAAACTTAACAGTATTTTTCTGAGATCTTTCCATACAGCAGTGTCCATCGAGTTCTGTTTCTAACTGCTGCAATGTATTTCACAGTGTGCGCACAGCATGTTCACTTATCTATTCCCCTAGTGATGGACACTTAGGTTGCCTCCAGCTTCCTATCACCATAAGGCTCCCACATGTCTTCTCTGTGAGAGGTTTTCTAGGACATTAGCACCCCAGCTGTGCCCCCCACCAGATCCCTTCAGCTCATATTTTCACTCACTTGTAGATATTGTGGGCAGTTCCTGAACCCCTTGACAGCGTCACCTCATATGCTTGTATCTTTCTTCTTCTCCATTGGAGGTCTTTCTTCTGTCTGCATGCAGAAAAGACTGGAAGTGCAGGGGTAATTTCCCAGGGACAACCACCAACAAACAGGGCCAGTGAATAAATACTGCTGCTTACCTTTTCCTCAGTGGGTCAATTCTAAGGTGTTTTCTATGTGATTCCTCAAGTCCTCAAATGGTCCCCAGTAGGAATGAGCTCTAGTTGCTCATTGCAATCACCCTTTAGGAGTTGGGAATTAGGCTGAGGGAGCATGGTATCTACAGTGCAAAATTTAAGGAGGTGCTCATTGTCAGGTTCAGGTGAATGCCCTGGGCGCCTCCTTGCCTTACTCTAGTCCAGAGCCTGCACCATTTATTGTTTTTTTTCTCTCCCAGTCCTAATTTCCCCTCTTGGGTTTCCTAGGGAGTACCTCACAAATAAACCATCTGTACTCTTGGCTCAGGGAATACTTTTGGGAGAGCCCAGACTAAGACATATATTCAGGAAAGGATTTCTAGGTCACATGGCATATGTGGACTTATATTGTCTAGTTAACACTGTTCAGTAGAACTTTCTGCAATGATGAAAGTGTTCTATATCTGTCTGTATTGTCCAGTATAGCATCTACCAGCCACACGTGGCTGTTGAATGCTTAAAATTCAGTAGTGCACTAATTACAACCCTTTAGTAGAATTCGTGCCTCATATCGAAAATTACCGAGTATCATAATTCTTCCAAGTGGTAAAGATACCTCAAGACAAAGGCTGGGCATAGAAGCCACAGGGCATAAATCTGCAAAGAAGTAAAAAGCTAACCTTTTCAAAGAATATTGCTTCTCTCTCACTCACCAACTTTACATTTCCCTGTATGGCCCCGGAAGATGACTGGTTAGCCAGAGACGGGTAAGATTCCTCAAGGGAGGAACAACCTAAGACAGGCACAGTCGCAGGGGGGCCATCAGGTGAGAAATTGGGGATCAACAGTGGTGAGGCTTAGAACCTCACCCCCCCTGTTTTGAGAGAAATCTTCTGCATCCGTGGATGTTTTGTTGCCCTTGTCTAGCTTGGATTAATACTTAGTCTATAGGCACACACCTGATCATCTACATTTGCCCTCTTACAGCACTAAATTATGTTTTCTACCTTTATCTTACATCTACCTACCACTTCATCATTTTATT